GACGGCGCCCCAGCGCCGGCGACCTCGCCTTCCTCCACGCCAAGCCCCCTTCCACCCCTACAACCTACGAGCTAGACCCGGTAGGAACCCAGCTCCTACCAACGTGTTAAGTACCGGAATTTAATTGGGTTGATTTCATGACCCCAACTTTACTTCACGAATCACTACAAAAACTTAGACCCCAACTCTCCCAGGCAAATTCACTTGAAACAAAGGTATTTCCCTCAATAACAAAAAAATAGTTGAAACAAAGGCACCTCCATTATGCACTATCACATGCCACTTCGCATGAAGGATCATCAAGACGGGATCAAAGAAGTGTTTTTTATTGCCACCAAAGATTTTGAGCAGCTAGAGTAACTAATTAACAGTAGACAGTTGTACAAGTGAGTACAAACGAATCAGCATATGAACATATTTAAGTTCTTAAGCTCAAAATAAATTTAAGTTCATCTCTTGCAGAGCTGGCATTGTTTTATTTGTAATTCTTCAGGTGAAGAGCTAACCATCTAAAGAATGAACAACCACATCCATGTGACACCATCCAGAAACTCTGATTGCATGGCATTTGAGCAAGATCATGGAGACATATTAACTTGGCATTTTAGCATAATTCAATTACAGAGTTGTATAATGCGCCCTGGTAGTACAATTTGCTCAGTAACCGAATAGCACTAACCATATACTGTACATAGTATTAAGAGATTTGAGTTGGAGGTGGTGAGTAACGTTACCCATGACTCCACTGAGGACGCTCCGGACGGCGCAGTTGTTCATCATCTCCTGCCCCTTGATCTCCTCCGGCGTTGGCAGCTGGAGCGGCTGCACCGCAGCACTCTGGCTGGCCGCATCGCCGCCAGCGGATGGCTCCGGCGAAGCCATCTCACAGTCTGATCTCCCCCTCCCGGTAGTACGACGGTGGAGCTAGCTGCGGGCCGTGAGGATCACTGGAAAGGCGATGAATGGGATTGGAGAAGAAGCCGAGCGCTGGCTACTTGTCCTGCTCGGCTTTCCTTTCTTTTCCTCCCCTCCAAGAAAAGAGGCGGCGGTAAGGGAGGCAGGGGAAGGGGATCCCGGTGGCGCCTGCCTCTTCCCGCTACCGGAGGACGCAAACGTACTCTCGGGAGTACGCTGTCGTGTCCCCTTATCAGCAAGACCTGCAAAACATGAATCTGTGGTTAGTATGGCGGGATGGAGGGGCTGCGCCGGCCAACGACATAGGCGGGATGGAGGGGCTGCGCCGGCTCGCGCGGGAGAGGAAAGATGGCTGCAGGGGAAGGAAAGGGGCGGCGGCCGCGGGGGCCTGAAGATCCTCCGCCGTGGGAGAGAGGACGAGGAGGAGGAGGAGGGCCAGCGAGTGGGGAACCATACCTGAGCCGCCGCCGCCGCCGCCTGAAGCTTCTCGCGCGGCGAGGAAAGGCCAGGTCTCCCTCGAGCCTGTGTCCCAGCGGCCCCAAGTTTTGCGGAGGAGGGCCAAGTCGACCCAAATCGGAGGCACATTCGAAGGGGGATGCTATTTGGCGAACGTTCGCCAGCAAAGTTTCAATCAGAAGCACTCATCTTAAAGCACGAGCAACAGCCACGTCACTTTTCTTCTCGTTGATGTGCGTTGTGGAGAGAGCCTCAGCCATCTTTATTTGTAAAGGTTTCAGTTGCTAGCGGATTTCACGGCACCGATAGGAATTTTATAGAAATAAAAAAATCATAGAAAGTGAGATGACATGTATGTCAATACCTATAGAGAAAGAGATGTCATTTGGTACATAGGATAGGATTTTTTTACATTAAGTCTAGGCTAATGTTTTTTTTCCTCCAAAACGTGAAGGATTGATTCCTATCCTACATAGGAATAAGAATCCATTCCTACAAACCAAAGGGCTTCAAAGGATTTTTTTTCTTTTCTTTTGTAAATCCTATCCTATAGAATTCCTACAAAAATCTTACACAGCAAAAGAGGCCTTACATTGTGTGAGGGAGTAAAAAAAATAGAATAAGTGTGATTGGTGCTTTATATATAAAACGGAGCGAAAGTCTTTTTCCATAAAAGAATAGAGTGAGTCATTGGAACACTTGGGGAACATTTCGAAAAGGCTACAACTAAACTCGGTGCACTTGCAAAAACATCAAAGGCAACTAGGAAAAGGTCTTCTTCCCCTCGACCTTCACCGGTGAGGTCGTGGATTCATCTCCTCTTTGACTGCCGCTCTAGTGACCGGTGGCAGGGAATGGAATCCTAGTGCCTCGGCTCTGGGCTCCAACTAGTAGATAGTTTAGGGTTTTAGTGCTCGCAGGGGTAGTGCTTGGGCAGATGGCGACGCTCCATATTTGAGTCGGTCTTCTAATCTTCGATCCTCCTCGAGCTCGTCCTTCGGGGCGGATTAGACGGAGCTCCGGTATTGATTCTTGGCGGCCCCTCGAGGAAGCGAGGTTAGGGTTTCTC